ACTACTGATGTTTTGGGCCAGATAATTCTATTTTGTAGAGGGCTCTTCTGCACACAGTAGGGTGGTCAGCAGAATTCCTGGCCTCTACCCACTAGATGTCTCTAGCACCCTTCCAGTCATGACAAGTAAAAACGTGTCCACATATTGCTAAATGTTCCCTAGGGAGCAAATTCACCCCTGGCTGAGAAACACTGCTCTAGAATAATAGACTGTGGCTAAATAATAGACCTTGGCTAAATGCAAACATTTTTCATTGCTTGCTTAAAATATACATCATCACATAAAAGATTTCAAGGTTTACATTAGGCTATAAATGCCATTATTATAATATAACATAGCACTTTAGACTTTTAAAGAAGGAATCCTAAGTGTTAGATCTTAATTGGTTATTGTGATTTTATATCCTTCCTATCAAAATCTACAAAACTACATTATTTCAATTCATTTTCTTAAGACTTTAACTCATTTGGGGCACCTGGCTGGTTCAGTCAGTACAGCCTGACTCTTGATCTTGGGGTTGTAATAGAGATTACTTAAAAATAAAGTTTAAAAAAAGACTTTAACTCATTTGTTGATACCTAAAACAAAACTTGATGCAAATAAAAATCACTAACTATCCTCCAAGTATCCATAAGTGAACCATCAATGAGCATCCATTAGAAATCGGAGGAAAACAATCAAATTGGAAGACAGCATAGCCTAGTTGGTAATGCACAGACTTAGTTTCTTTTTTAACTAGCTTAACCAGCTGATAAACTAGTTTTTTAAAACCAGTTAAGATGTGGGGCAAGTCACCCACACTTAACTGAAATTTATTTATCTTAGTCTATACAGTACAAGGTTTCCGTCCTGGTACCCTCTGGTGATATTGTTGATATATTGTGGCTTATCTTTCCTCTCCCTGTCCCTTGAATCCTAAGTCGACATGTTGTTTACACATCTGTAAGTGTGCCACCAACTAAAAATTGGGTAGAGGAACACCAGCCACAATGCACATCACTTCCTTTGGCTCAAAAAATGAGAGGAAGAAAACAATGGGATGCCATTTTAGACATACTGTGTTAACAAAAAAGAAAACCACTTTTGGGGTTTTGTTTTGTTTGTTCAAAAATAATACTCAGTGCCAGCCAAGGTTGTGGGGAAACCAATACACTTTTTCTAATGGCAGAAAAGCATAAAGAATCATAAAAATATTCATGCTTTTTGACCCTGCTATCCCATTTCACAGACTGTCTTAAGGAAATAATTCAAAACAGAAAAGACAAGTTTGATAGGCAAGAAATGGTTAAATAATCTGCTCAATAGATTAAGCAGCCTTACAAATGATAAATATAAAGGATTCATAGTTGGGGCACCTGGCTGGCTCAGTCGGAAGGGCGTGTGACTCTTGATCTCGGGATCGTGAGTTTAAGCCCCATGATGGGTGTAGAGATTAAATTTTTTAAAAAATAAATAAAAATAAAGGATTTGTAGCAACATGGAAATATACTTAGTATATAAATAGTCTTCCCTACAGTCACAATACTCAATATTGAAAGATGACAGCTGTGAAGTCTTATCCTTCTGCTGTGATGACACAGATGAATCCAAATACCAAAGACAATGTGGTGACCACAAGGAAGAGCTTTGGATGAATGCATAATTATTCTAAATGAGTGTGAAACTCCTCGGCATTTTTAACATGAGTGGATATTGCTAATTTTCAAGTTGCCATTTAAAAAAAACCCTCTCAGAAGCATTTGTCTACAGCAAGAAAGAGTAATCAGCAATTAATAACTGTACCTTTGTGTACATCCATATTCTCAAGACTAATGATTTAATTAAGGATGTCTTCCTCAAAAGTGAAACAACATGACCATAAGCAATAAGCCTCACTTCCTGCTGTGAACCTCAAAATATAATGATGATGAAAAAATACATATGACAGGAAAAAATATATAATGATGAAATGTAAAGAGATGCCATTTAAGGGTCTATAAGCAGACAGGGCTTCTTAAAGAACAGTTCTAGAAAACAGATGCCAAAAACACTTCATGGGATGCCCGGATGGCTCAGTCGGTTGAGTGTCCGACTCTTGATTTTGGCTCAGGTCATGATCTCGGGGTTGTGGGATCAAGTCCCCACCCCCCAATATTGGGCTCTGCACTCAGTGGGGCATCTGCTTCTCCCTCTCCCTCCCCCTCTGCCCCTTCCCTCCATACTAGGTCTCTCTAAAATAAATAAACACATCAAAGATGGAAAGAAATTAAAATGAGTCAGTCTTGGGAAAGGAAGCACTACACTCACTGGAGTTGGCGTGTTGAGTTGGCAGTGCCAATGGGACAGGCAAATGTTCAGAATCTAACTGCATAGACTTAGGAGCTGTCAGCATTGAGGAGGTAGATGAAGCCATGGGACTGGATGAGCTCTGAAACGGGGAGGGTACAAAGAGGGGCCTGAAATGCTAAAGACTGAATCTTGTATAAAGGCTAGAGGTAGGTGACAGGAAGAGGAAGGGAGGTACAAGGAGAATGATGCAAATTACATTGAGAGAGTTTCACAGAATAGGTGCTGAGTAGTCAGCTGCAGAAGCCAAGGAGGGTGAAGGCGAGGGAAAGGCCATTTGATCTGGCAAGGGATCACTGGGAACCTTCAAGAGTCAGTATTCAAGAGGGGCGCCTGGGTGGCTCAGTCATTAAGTGTCTGCCTTCGGCTCAGGTCATGATCCCAGTGTTCTGGGATCGAGCCCCACATCGGGCTCCCTGCTCCGTGGGAAGCCTGCTTCTCCCTCTCCCACTCCCCCTGCTTGTGTTCCCTCTCTTGCTGT